GCTGAGACCCATTCTGGATGAGGACTCAGAGGCATCCAGTCTGAGGAAACAGGATCAGCTGAGGAACTGGCAAGGTGAGGTGGCTGTGGCTTGTTCTGCTTCTCTGATCTTCTAGCATTCACCCCAATAACCAGGCCCTGAGTTTATTTTATTAATAAGACTCTTTAAGATTCCTGCTACAGGATCTCACACCTTCACACCGATGAACATAAAATAAAGTTAAAATATATATATGAGGGAGAGAGAAAAAGAAAATATAGGGCTAGGTTAAAATGCTTGCAAGGAAAGCCTGAGGACTAGAGTGTGGCTCCCCAGAAACCCACAGAAGTGCCCAGTGGCCATGGCAGCTCACCTTGCAATTCTGATAGCCCAGACAGGGACTCTCCCCAGAGCAAGCTGATAAGTAAAACTAGCTATATGGTAAGTTCGAGGTTTGATCGAGGGACCCCTGTTTCAACAAATAAAATGGAAGAGTCATCAAGAATGACTTCCAACTTCAACCTTGGTGTCCTAGTCCACTTTCTGTTGCTGTGGTAAACATCACAACCAGAAACAACTTGGGTAGGATGGGCTTATTTTGGCTTATGCTTTATAGACCATCACCGAGAGAAGTCAGAACTGGAACTCAAGGCAGGAAACTGGAGGCAGAAACTAAGTAGAGACCATGGAGGAATGCTGTCTGCTAGCTTGTTCAACCTGCTTTCTTAAACCACCATGGACCACCTGCCTAGGGATGGCACCACCTGCAGTGGGCTAGGCTCTCCCACATCAATCATTAATCAAGAAAATGCTCTACAGACTTGCTATATGCAATCCGGTGGAGGCATTTTTCTCAATTGAGGTTCCGTTCCCCAGATATGTCTAAGTTTGTGTCAAGTTGACAAAAACCAACCAGCACACTCAGGTCTCCGTATGCAAGCACACACACACATGTGCACACATACCACCACACGTGTGGCCACACGTGCATACATACACATTCACACAAAAAAATGGGAAAAAAATAAAAGAGGGAAATCAAAAGTAGATATGCTGAAATGCTAGTGCCTTGTTTTGCTTGGACCTTAAATATGCCCCAAAGGTTCGTGTGTTGAAGAAGTGACCAAAAGCCAATGGTGCTTTTGGGACATAGTAAAACCTTTGGCAGGTAAGGCCTGGGAGTAAAACATTGGGACATTGTCTTAGTCAGGGTTTCTATTGCTGTGAAGAGACACCACAACCACAGCAACTCTTATAAAAGAAAACATTTAATTGGGGCTGGCTTACAGTTTCAGAGGTTTAGTCCATTGTCGTCATGGCAGCCTGCAGGCAGACATGGTGCTGGAGAAGAAGTTGAAAGTTCTATATCTTGATCCGCAGGCAGATAGAAGCAACTCTATGCCACACTGAGCATAGCTTGAGCCAAGGAGATCTCAAAGCCCACTCCCACTTGATACACTTCCTCCAACAAAGCCACACCTCCTGATAGTGCCACTCCCTATGGGGGCCATTTTCTTTCAAACCACCACAGTCATTGAGAGCAGGCCTTTGTGGGGGATATTAGGCTTGGTCCCTCCTCTCTCTTTTGACTTCTAGTAGCCATGAGGTGGATAGGTTGGCTTCATGGTGCACTATTCTTCATGATATGCTGCCTTAACAAGGGTTATAAAGCAACAGAGCCAATGGATGATAAACTGAAACCAGGAGGCAAAGTAGAATTTTCCTGTGTGTAAGTTGATCGTCTCAGGTAGTTTTGTCACCGTGGTGGAAAGCTGATGAATACACAGCTTCCCTAAAATGCCACAGAAGTTATTGAGAGGAAGATAAGTAATGGAATGGAAGTTTCTTCTAAAAGATTATCTCCTTTCCAACACTTAAAGAGAATAATGACTTCAAAATCAAACAACCCCATAAGCATTCTACTCTCATGAATATGGAAGGGCAGAGTCTGGCCGATAAGAAAGTTAAGTAAAAGAAAAATAATTCCCACCACCTCTTCCCACCTTAATGACATTTTTATCTTACTTTATGCCACAGATTTAACAAAATCTGTCACATATTCTCTTATTAACAGAAGCTTTTATTTTATTTTTTTGACGTGGGGCCTCATGTAGCCCAGGATGACCTCAAATTCAGTATGCAGCAAAAGCTAGCCTCAGGATAACCTTGAACTTCTGATCTTCCAGTCTCCATGTCACAGGATTATAAGTAAGCCTCCTCACACCAAGTTTTATACAGGACTGGAGACTGAATCCAGGGCAAGTGCTCTGTGAACAAAGCAACATTCCTAACCCAGGAGCATTCTTTTTGTAATTAATATTTGGTGAACAACTTGTTTGTTTGTTTGTTTGTTTGCAGTATTGGGGAGGAAACCCAGGGCCACAAGATTACTAAATAGGCTTTTCATCTCTGCACCAGCAGCCCCCTTCAGTTGGTCACGTAATTCCCCTTTTAATTTGTATTTTCATTTATTTACCTATTTATGTCTGTGCGCGCACATGTGCATGCCACAGTGTGCAAATTGAGGTCAGAGGGTGACTTACTGGAGTCAGCTCACTCTTTCCACCGTGTGAGTTCTAGGATCAAAGCCAGGTTGTCGGGATTGACAGCAGGAGCCTTCACCTACTGAGTCATCTTGCAGTCTCCCACATATTTCCCACTTAAAAAATAAGGTCACATGGGGTTAAAAAGTACTGAACTAATTTTGATTGATTCTTGATTGGCTGATGTTAGAAAGGAAGGAGGGAGGCTGAGGTGCCCCTCTACTGCTGGTCATCCCTCTGTCCACTAAAACTACTCTGGCATCTCTCTGTCCTAGTGAGACACCAGCCAGATACTACCATTCTCAGGAGAGATCAGCACTCAAGAGTTTTCCTTAAGAATCTGGCAAGGAATGACAGAGTGCAGGCCAGGGGTGCTTGGAATGTGCCACCCACCACTAGCGAACAGCAACTCTGCTGTGGTGGTGAGTGTTGACAGAGTCTGGGAGACGGGGAGTAGCTGTTTTCCATTATTAATATGTAGCCCTATATGGGAAAAATCTGACACCCAGATAGCCAACAATTAAAAATGGCTTTTCTCCCTCTTGCAGTAACCATGCAGATTTAATTTCTTTAAGTATAATTGAAAAGTGTTTACCTTTCCTTAGTCCCCAAGTCTGTGAAGTATGTTTCGGTGTCAAGTCTGAGCCAACGTGGAAGACAGTGCTGTGGGATTCTGTATGCTCATATGGAGAAGCCAATGGCTACTGTATTTCCAGTGTATGTTAAATTCCAATCATTTTATACTCTCAGCACAGATTATTTCCAACACATTTTTTTTTCTGGCTCTGCAGATTGAACCTAGTTCTCACACACACACAATGAGAATTCCGATCACATCCTTTGTTAATAGAACCAGGAATCTACTAGTCACGCCCTTTCAGTGGATCCTGGACTAGAGAACACTTCAGGAAAACTGATGTCTAGTTTTTAGTAAAAAATAATGAATTAAACACATATCAATAGCTAATCAAGTGTTATGGCACTGTTGACACAATGCCCTTTCTTTTCTGAACATGACCACCATTGTTTGCCTTTCCATAATAAGTCAACAAGTGGGAATCAAGCTTTCACCAAGATCATTAATCTTTTTAAGCAAATATGAAAATTGGTAGTGTTTTACAGACTAAAGGGAAAAAATCAGAGACTATCTAGATTAACCAAAGGACACTTTATGGCCATCAGAGAAGAGCCCTGAAGAAGGGCACGGCCAGGTTGTTTTAGGTCCTTGAAAAGGCATCAAGTTGAAGAAACCAGGTTTTTGTCTTTTTTTTTTTAATTTCCTTAAGCAGACTCTTAAGAATTCTTTCTCTGGTCATTGCACATCTGCCCCATGACTCAATAATCCAAGTTCCTTCCTGAGTCTGTGAAATCTCTTGTCCAGGATTCAGAGGAAGGTGGGGACACTGAGCATCCGGGCTGGGTCCCAGCATGTTTATAACACTATTGTGATGAAAGTTGTTTCCCACCATATCCTACATTTTACAATGTATAACCTGTGGGTATTCCCCCCCCACACACACACATTTTAATCCTTCAACATCAAATAGATGAGAGAAAAGGAACTGAAGATTTCTGGAAAGTGGGTGATGACTGTGAGCCTGGGTAGTTAGGAGAAGGCATGCTGTCCCTCTATGATCAAAATAAATATATACAGGTGTTTTCTGAATTGCCAAGACCTGTCTTATGAAGAAATGTTCTCTAATATAAAACCACAATCATAAACAATGTGTATGCATATAAATATGCATATAAAATAGACTGCATGCATATATATTTTTATAAATGTTTTCACCAACTGTTTACATTTTACTTATTATGTATTTATGTGTTTATTTATCATTGTGACAGGGTCTTATTATGTAGTCAGGCTGACATGAACTAGTCATCCTCCTTCCTCACCCCCCTGAGTGTTGGGGTACAGGCTCTAGATACATATTGATGTATGTCTGTTTTCACAACACGTCTGCACACTGATGACCAGTGTGGGAATTGGCCAAATGGACTTTCCTCACTACCTTTTCCTTCACCTATTGTTCAGATAATCACCCACTCACACTCATCTGTTTATTTAAACCTTACTTTCCTATTCTCAGATCTTCAAAATCTCCCCATCTCCGTTCCTGACCCTCTCTCCCAGCTCCCACCCCCACCCAAGCTACTCCTGTCTCCTTTCCTAATAGTTTGCCTTCTGTTCCTTGTGTGAAACATGGCCTTAGATATTGCTAGAATGCACTGGAGTGGGGCACGTGATACACCAATTCTGAACAAAGGAGAAGTCCAACACTTAGAAAGGGGTCCAGGAAGGTCTAGGAAACACAACAGTCCTTGAAATTGTGAAGTTGTCTTCTTTTGAATGAAAGGATTTCAGTATCACTCCTTTTCTTAATCTGTCTTGCCCACTTTTCTGCTAAAATGTTATTATTTCTTCTTGTTTGGGTCAGCTTCTTCGAATCTCATCAATGTTGCTTTCTACTGCAGCTGTACAGCATCGCAGCTCCGTTATGAAACTTTGGTGGGGTTGACCCAGAAACTCAACAACATGACATTGTTCTCTGGGAAGACACATCTTAGTCTCAGTTCAACAGCTGATAAATGCTCTTGCAGGAATGTTTGGCTGCCTGTGGGTAAGCATCCAAGGACATAGATCCTCGGAGTCTACGAATATAGAGTTGATGTGACTGCGTGCTTAGAAAAGAGGTACTTATGGGTGTCTTCAATGGCTAATCTTGGTTATCAACTTGACTACATGTGGAATTCTAACTAAAACTCAAGCAGCTGGGCACACCTGTGATGGATTTTTCTTGGCTGGATCATTTGAATTCAGAAGACCCACTCTAAATCTGGACACACCTTCTGGTGGCAGGCCAAATAAGAGGACTCAGAAGAAGGAAGATTTTGTTTTTTGTCTGCTTGCCCCCACTCTCACTGGCAGTTCATCCATCCTGTTCTTGATCTATTTCTTTACTGGTGTTGGAACCCACTTCTTCAGGATTCCAGTGTGAACCAGAAATTTGAAGCCCTCTAAGACACTGGGACCGCTGAGACATCCAGTCCTGAGGACTGAACAAGCCTTTCCGCCAGGAGACAGACATTGTTGAACTGCTTGGACCACAGCACGTAAGCAACCAAATATATATGGGACTTTTTAGATTCCTTTAGAGGGTTATTAGCTTCCTTTAGAGAGCCCCGACTAACACAATGTCCCACCACAAAAGTTTATTAGTTCAGTGAGTTGGCAGTGGCACACGCCATTGACAAAACCCATCCCTGCATGATGGCTTTATAAAAAGAAGTTGACAACACAACCGATCCTCTGCCTTGGTGGCTCTGGGTTAGCCAGTGTTCCCGAACTCTCTCCAACTCCTCAGTGAAGTTTACCATTTTATGCCCTCCTTTTGCCCTCCAAAGTCTGAGCTTTGGCATGTCTGGACAGCCGTTTGAGCTCTCTGCCCTGCTGTTGCAAGAAAGAAGGGGCCAGGCTGGTGTCAGGAAGCATTCAGTGCCGTCTGACTTCTCCCACCAAGCGCCTCCTATGTCCACACCCTGCATGTGGCAAATCCTTCCCTATACTATCCCTATCCTTGCCTCCCTCACCTCTCCCAGGAGAGGATGGGACCATGGATCTCCATGTCCCCTAGTCCCTAAAAGACTAGCCTGCTGTCATATCACTGTTTTCTGCCTTTCCTGCCATTGTGTGTGTGTGTGTGTGTGTGTGTGTGTGTGTGTGTGTGTGTACGACATTCATGTCTGTGCTTTATGGGTATCTGTGTGTGACTGCATATGAATGTCCGTGTATGTACATCAGTGTGTGACTGAATATAAGTGTATCTGTGTTCTTGTCTATTTGTGTGTGTGTGTGTGTGTGTGTGTGTGTGTGTGTGTGTGTGTGTGTGTGTGTGTGAACATTTGCCCAGGGTTGACATGATCCAAACACAAGTGACAGGAAAAGAGGGGGAAAGGATGGGCAGCCCTGTGCCAGCTGGGCCATGCTCTGACTCGGTCTCCGAAGCTCATGCACCAGCCTGGGTCCAGGTGCGTGCAGCCTTCTCCCTCCAGAAGCCCGTTCTCTCCGAGGACCCAGCGATGTCGGGTGGTGGGCGGAGCGATGCTGGGCGGTGGGCGGAGCGATGCGGGGCGGCGGGCGGGGCGAGCGGCCGCGCTCCGAGCATGCTCCGGCGGGTAGTAGCAGGCGGGGCGGCTCGTGCTGGTCCCCGACCGGCCGGAGCGGCAGCGGCTGCGGCGCGGGACAGTATGCGGGAACCGCTCGGTAAGTCCTGGCAGCTCTCCGTTTGGCTCGCTCCCACGGCGTCCCGCGGGCCCCGCCTCAGCCTCCCGCGCGCGCCCCCAACTTCTCCAGCCCGGACATTGTTAGGTCCCTGCCTCGGCGTGAGGGGACGCCCGCGCCGCGGGTGGCAGCCCACCCCCCACGTCCCAAGAGCTGCTGCGGTCCCCGTTCAGGTGCCCGGCGCGGGGAGAAGGCCGGGCTGGCTTTGGCTCCCGTGGGCGCGGGTCTCGCGTGGGCCTCTTCCTCGTCCGGTGCAGCGAGCTGGCGGACCCTCCATCCCAGGACTGACAGCCCGGGTTCCCACGACGCCCTGGCCCGCGGGACCGGCGGTGGGACGTCGGGAGTGGCCGCGCCCGCTCGGGTCCCCGCCCGGCCCCGCCACCCGCCGGGGAGTGGCTGGCAGTCCGCTAAGCGGCTCAACGGGACGGAGCCGCCCGCGTCCCCCACGCCCAGATCAGCCACAGCCTCCTCGTGCCACCCCCCAGACCCGGTGACCCGGGACCCCGGCCTCCGACGCACCCGCACTCCCCCCACTCCCCCACCCCCTGTGTCTCTGGCCGAAGAGGTTGAGCGCCTCGGGTTCCTCTTGGGGAGGAAAATAATCTTAGCGGGGAACTTCAGCCAGCTCAGCCTGGCTGTGCCCCAGCCGGGTCTCTTCCATGCTCCGCTGTGGTCTCTCTGCCCAAGTCTGCGTGGCTGGCCCTGCCTGGAACACACAACTCCCAGGCTTTTCCTGTCCGGGACAGTTTAATCTGTTTCTCTCCACCGATTCGTGTTTTCTTTCTTTGGATTTTTGTCTTTTCAAGCTCGCAAAGAAAAGATATCTAGGGATTGGGAGTGAGCGTTGGGAGATGGGAGGAGCCCTGAGAGGGAGGTGAGAGGTGGGATTCTGGCATCCAGAAACGCTTTGCATGGAAGATAGGAAAGAAAAAGTAGACTATACTCAGTGGCGTAATCACAGCCCAAGTAGGTAAAACTCCAGGAACCAGTCTTTTGTCAGGTGGACCAAGACCATCGAACATAACAGGAACAGGACTTTCCGAGTCTTGTAGAGGTTTCGTTTCATAGGAGTTGTGTTGGATTTTTTTTTTTCCTGTGAAATTGGGAGTTTGGACATTTTCTTTGGTTTTTCCATAATCAGCGTCTTTGGACTTATCTTGATAGTAGCTCTAATCTTTATCATCCCTTGAACAAACTTCCTAAAGGCCTCTCCCTGTGACACTGGGCAGACCACGGTGGGGCAAACTTTCACTCGTACAGCAGTGGGCAAGCAAATATTTGTTGAACAGAGGCCTTTAATCTGTGGGGCCTTCCTCCTGCAAACTGCTGAGGCTGGGAGGTGAGGGCCCAGAGGACTCCAGGGACTTCGGGAGATAGGGTAGAGGAAGAAGTCTGTTGTATGTAGGGAGAAGTTTGTTTTTCCAGCCTCTTGGAACATAGGCCATGCCTGAGCAGCCCCAAGCTCTGGAGGGCTTGACAGGCTCATCAGAGTTATCTGATAACTCATCAGAGAGGTCGTGGCTTCCAGAGGCCTGCTGGGCATGGTTCCCTCACTCTAAGAAGTTAACTAGCCTTTGGAGATAGGCAAGGAAAATAGATAATGGGTCATTTTTTTTTTTTTCAGTTTTAAAAAAAGCAAGTCTGCGAAGATAGTAGAAATCTGCTTTGTGGGATGCAATTTAAAGATAAATCCCGTCTTTACTGTCAGCACCGAAGTTAGTGAGTGGCTCCTGCAGGTCCCCTGTCCTTGCTGGGAGAGTCGGCTCCTGTGGAAGAACAGCAAACAGGGAGCGTGGTCTCAGGCCAGCTTCTGTGTTAATGAGCTTGGCCAGACTTGACGGTAATTAATCTGGAGAGTTCAGAACACAGTGTTGGGCTGAAACGATTGTTCTGTTGTGGGTTTTACTTGATAAGCCAAGGCTTTATCTCTGAACCCCACCCCCACCCCCACCCCCACCTCCCCCAGGCTGGGGCTAAATCCTTGCTGCAGTTTCTTTTGGTTCTAGCAGATGTTAGTTTTTTACCTCTTGGGTGGGAAGGGTTATCTCCCTAGTGGAGCCTTGGCTTCCAGAGCCTGACTGGCTTGATGAATGCTGAGGGAAAGGGAGACCTACCTTCTGGCTCTTTACTATATCCTTTAAACACAGACACCCCCCCCCCACACACACACCATTTATATTAATTTGCATTTGGAGGATCTTATTTAAAATGTATTTATTACTTTTTCTATAACTGTATTTCCTGACGACTTTTAGAGGATGTGATTTAGATACACAAAGATTTATTGTCAGACTATTTTCTTACGAGTCTTTGGCTGTGGTTAGTGATGCCTTTATAACATGACTGATGAAGCCTGCCTCTTCTGCATGGTCATACTGTTATGAGCAGGCACTAAAAGACACGTCAAAGAAGTAAAAAAAAAAAAAAAAAAAAGAATGGAATTGAGCATCTGCTGGGGGAGAGGGGAATCAACAGAGGGGGGTCACAACAATTGTCACAGGGAGGTCACTGAGAACCTTCTCTTTCTTTTGCCCAATCACTGAATTTTGTAGTGTTTACTTTTGAAATAACGTCATAGCTTTTATAATTAGTAAGTAAAAATTACATGAAATAATTTGAGCCTTCACATTTTTATAAAATGTCTTTTTATTCTAAAGGTATTTTTTTTTTTTTTTTTTTTTTTTTTGGTTTTTCGAGACAGGGTTTCTCTGTGTAGCTTTGCGCCTTTCCTGGAACTCACTTGGTAGCCCAGGCTGGCCTCGAACTCACAGAGATCCGCCTGGCTCTGCCTCCCGAGTGCTGGGATTAAAGGCGTGCGCCACCACCGCCCGGCATAAAGGTATTTTTAAATTAAAAAAAAGACTAATACATGACAAGTATACTAGAAACTTGCCCTGGGACAGCTGGCAGATGATAATTGGATAAAATTAGAAAATTTCAAACTGTTTCAGATTTTACATTTCCCCCCAAATGGAATATTAAAAAGACAAAAAAAATCTTACTTGGTTTTGTCTTTTCTTAATGATTTGTAATCTTTCAGAAATGTCAGTGAGGTACTTAGAGTCTCATAAAAATGGAGTAAAGTAACCAAAGTACTAATTATGTGACACAGAACTTAGAGGGGTGTGTGTGTGTCCCCGACTCTAGTGGAGAAAAAGGAAGTGTGGAGTTAGAAGAGGCAGTACTTATTTAAAAACTGGAGCGCAAGGTATCTGACACTGTGTTCCCCTTTCTTTCCTTTAAAACCCACTCTCTTAACAACAGTCCTACTCGTCACCATTAGCAGTATGCCAAGACCGCTTTTTATTGTAGACCACTTTTCCATCTGTATTTTTTTTTTCCTTTTACCTTAGGAAAAGTCAGTTCAGTGATGCTTGCCTTCCCAAAATGATTATGTCACAGGTTGCATATGCTCTTCATGACCTCCACATGTTGAACAACTTGGGAACAAGTTCCTGAGAACTTCTTGTCTCAGGACTTAAACTGGAACTGTGCAGTTATTTATTTAATAATTAAGTCTAGAGTGGGAAATGACAGCCCCGTTGTTCGTGATAAAACACACAGTCCTTCCACTGGGGGAGAAAGCCACAGAGAAGGCTTTACAAATGCACATACCATTAACAACTTATCCCATTCTGGCTTGTTTTCTGGCTTGGCTATTTACTCCTTGTTTAAAGAAAGCACTTTGTTATATATTAATCATAACATTAGACCTAAACGTTGTCAGTTGAGGAAATATTTACACTGAACTGCCAACAGTTTAAGGGACCAATTACATCTTCAGTGTGGAATGTCAGTGGATACAGCTGAGGAGTTTGGGGGTATTTTTTAG